AAAATAAAAAATTTATATCTTTATGTTTGAAGCCTGAAATGTGGCAAAAGGTTGAAAAGTTCAAGGGGGCCGAATACTTTCGCAAGGCACTGTATATAGAGCTTTTCTGGACACTCCACTTAAAGCGCTTTGCAGGTAATGGGGACTCCCCTCCACCACCACCAATGTGCAGTATTCACCTGGATGATGCAATGTCAGCCATAGTTCCCCAGAATGCTCACCACACACCAGCTATCAGTGGAGAGGAGAACAGAGTAATGAAGCCAGTTCAGAGATGGGGATTATTAGGAGGCTATGATTGGTAAGGGCCAAGGGGAACTTTGGCCAGGACAGTGGGGTAACATCCCTACTCTTTTTGAGAAACACCCTGGGATTTTTAATGACCACAGAGAGTCAGGAGCACTTCAGTTTTACATCTCATCCAAAGGAAGGCGCCTGTTTACAGTATAGCGTCCCTGTCACTATACTGGGAATTTAGGACCCACGGAGACCACAGGGTGAGCGCCCCCTGCTGGCCCCACTAACACCTCCTTCAGCAGCAACCTCAGCTTTCCCAGGAGTCTCCCATCCAGGTTCCGACCAGCCTCACACCTGCTGAGCTACAATGGGCTGCCCACTGTGAGTTGCAAGGTAATATGGCTGCTGGCCGCATGAATAATACAAGCCAGTACACAAAGTAGATGGTGTGCAGATATGGACTTTACTTACTAAATGTATCAAATATTTTATGAACAACAAAAATGTCCATTCATCAAAACATGCTTGACAGTATTAGAATGTTAAGCTACAAAATGTAAAGTGTAGGATGCAAACAAATGTACAGTTAAAATTGTGAAATGCACTATTAAGACCCAATTTAGAATATAGTTTATGCTTTTAGTCATCTCCATATAAAACAGATACTTTTGTTCAGAACAGAGAAGACAAGAAGGAGTCCACAAACCAGTGGGTGTCTTCAGAAACAAGAGAGAAACCACAACCAGAGCTCACAAGGCGAAACTAAGGGGAAGTGTGTTTTTAACTGAAAGCAGGAGTCACTTCCTCCTGTAAATGGCAGTGAGAATTTGGAATAAAATGCCCTGCTATGATGCTGAAGCCAATACACTGACTTCTTTCAATAAATGACTGAATAAAATCCATTAATCTATTAGTTTAGAGACCATATGGACCAGATGGGCTGATTGTTCATCAACTTGATTTGGGGCTGGAAATTCAGGACCATTGTGAATTGTTACTGTTTTCTACAGCAAGCAGAACAAGGCCCTTGTTCTCCTATCCCCTCCACACCTTGGCATTAGAGAGCGTCTTCAAAGTGACTCTTGCTTCCACTCGTACTGCACAGTTCCACTCCTACACAGTTTGTCTTCAGGCGTGAAACATGCCAGAGGAAAGAGCCTGACTGTTTGAAACATCTGTCAGCAGCCAAACGTCAAATTTAATATGACAAGAGTACAATGAACATGCAAGTCTTTCAATATTCTTATTTAAAAACTCTTACATGGTTCTTTTGATTCTGTAACACTGTAACATGTTTTTTCCTTATTTCCATTAGGGGGGTGTAGAGGTATAAAATATCAGAAACGTTCTGTGCAGAAAACCCACTGCAATCTGAGGCACGGCTGTGCCTTTAAGAGCATCCCATCCCCAGCACTGTGGTCACCCGTTGCCTACAGGAAGTGCAACTTCTCAGAACAACATCTCTGTAGCCATATTTACACAGGCACATTTATACTATAAAAGATGAGAAACTAAACCTCCTGTTAAAAGACATTTAAAGATATCTTTGCGTGTTTTAGGTGACTTTATCCTCATAGCCTCAGTCACATGACACAGTAGCTGGCGTCTTATCTGCCTGAAGAAACAGTATAGCTCCTCCACCCCAGTCAGAGCACTGTGTAACTCTGGAAACACAGGTTCAGTGCTGCTATGCTCCTGTCAAATATGAACCTGTACTAATTAATTGTCATTTTTTTATCAAATCAGTAATAAAACTAAACAAAAGAAAATTCTATCTCAATTACAGTATTTATAAAAAAAAGTACATGAAAAGCATCTCAGTGTCCATTTTCTATTTCCAGTGAAATGCAGATTACAGTCTTTTATTGCTTGCAGTGAGCTGGACTCAGAGATGTGTTCCCCTGCATGTCATAAGCCAGGATTTCAAAGGACAAGGAGAAGAGTGAAGTGTTTGACATCAGTGGGATTGCATTCCTTGCTCTGACAGCACTGGGCCTCCTGGCCTTGTACAGCCTTTAAAGCTTAACCCTCATGCTAAGATAAACCCCATCCTCTATCCTAATCCCTGAATTTAATTATCCCACCCAGAATTCAAATAATTGTCAGTTATCTCAGACTGTTACTGTTGGTACTTTTAGCATTTTTAACTCGATGAGCTCCGGCTTTACAGGAAGCTGGGCTACAGACATTTACAAGCTGTTTATCACACCACCAAATAAAAACAATGTCTATTGTAATCAGAACTAGCTGGGGAGGAGGATCTTATCTGAAGCTTGAAGTTCTGTGTCTGATAGCATCGCTGTCTAGGCGCTGCCCCAGGGCTGAGATCTGGGTCAGACGCCCGGGGCTGAGATCTGGACCTGAGGACATGCCCTGTCGGAGCCAGGCCTGCACTTCAGCAGCTCGGGAGGTCTGTATTTTTAGCAGTTTTGGTTTTGACATATTACAGCACTTAGGCTGTTCTAAAAATTAAAAGTTTCACTGTCAAATTGAATTCAATTAAAGAGTTTTTTTTTTCTCAGCTGCAATTCTTTTTTTTTGCCTTCTGTAGCTTTTTATCTGAGTCTGTGGGAAAGCATATGTCAGGATTCACTGTTATCATAAAACAAAGTGTCTAGATTTTTAGGGATAAAAATAAGGAAAAATAAGGTTTCCCTAAAAGTGTGTTTCTGCATTGAGAAGAAAAAAAGAGCCAAACAGGGCAGTATCTAAGACCTGTGTACAGCTGATTACATTTGAGCAAAGTGATTTACGTGCAATTAATTTAGGAACAGATTTAGATTCTGCAGAGACTTTACTGTATAGCACACATCTATTTTTAAGTTATTCTCTTGAAATATCCTCAATACGGACACTTAAAGAGAGGGAGAAAAGTACAGTTGTGCTACTATAAAGGGTTCAGGTCATTCATGCTGACTGTGCTGCCAGCTCCTCGGTCCACTCTTCCTCTCACCCTCCCATAGTGCTGCGCTAGTAACTCTGCTACTCTGCTGCTCTGGCCAACAGGCGCTGAGTGATTTCACACTCTGCGTTATTTCCTCAGAATTTCCACCTGCGCACTGCGGCACCTAGTTCTGTAACGGTCAGTTTCACGATAACTGTGATTCCACAGCTGGGAACCACAGCCAAGGCAAAGGAGTAGTTGATGCAGATCATGTCTTTTCATGGGGTGTCTTTCAGTGCGGGGGGGGGGGGACGCATGGACTTGTGCACAGGTTGCATTTTTTAAGCGCCTTGTGCTGCATGTTTGAGGCCTCACACTTTCCTGCGTGTGCCTGGGCCAGCAGCCCGTGGCCACCTGTTTCAGTTCCTGTTGGTGGGTGAGAGAGTGCGCTTCTCTGCTGGACTTAAGACAGCCACTTCCTGTTACAGGCTTGATGTTCCGCACAGTCCGTTTGTAGCTTGAAGGGCTCTGCTGGGCCGGTGCGAATACAAACCAGAATAGTAACGAGACAGCGATAGCACAGAAAGGTACTTTCTGCTCTCGCAGATCGTGCAAAGCCCCGTGTGGATCCGAGGCGGGGCGGAAAAGCGACACCGAGCGTCAGGGGCTGTCGGAGTCAGCAGCTCTGCACAGGGCGGCGGAGAGAAGGAGGAGGGGACAGAGGTATAAACAGAAAGGAGCATTGAATTTGCGGAAGTCGGGGAGCGGGTGGGGTTTCTGAAGGAACCCGAGCCGAGAAAGGGCTCTGTTCTCCAGCAGGAAGCTTTCAATGTGCGACTACAGGGCCTCCTTTGACTAGAGCAAGAAGGGGAGTATTGATGTCGCCGCGCAGTCTGTCGGAGTGCCACCCCTTACCCCTGTGTCATTAGAAGGGTATCGGTGTCAGCGATGCTGAAGAAACGTTTGAAATCGCCGGTTTAGTATAAAGGAAGGACGGGTTTCTAACAAAAAGGTGATTTTGTGCGTTCGCACTGACAAAATAAATTATCATTTTTCAGTCCGTACAAGAGGATAGCAACAGACATTAATCGGCAAGTACCCCTGTTTCTCCTCCCGATCAGAGGAATAATAATGAGTAACGGGCAGGAGATGTCTCCGGATTTTGTCTTGATGCGCCTGGTGTCCGCCGCCGAGGATGACCGCTTGGACGAGGAGAACGGTAATTTATCGTCAGCCAGCAGTGTCGTGGCCGGGTTCGGGACTCCGGTCTTGGGTCACCACCACAGCAGCGGCATGAAGAGCGGGTTTGAATTCGAGCTGGGCAGCACGGCCGGCCGGCCGCGGCCGAGCAGCCCTTCCCAGCAGCTCAGGCTGCCGCCGGGCGGCGGGACAGCAGCACCTGCGGACGGTGTGATGCTAACTCGACCACCGCAGCCTCTGCCGCCTCCTGCAGCCGACTCAGCCTTGGCCCAGCGCTTCGATTTCGCTCACAGGGCCAGGGGCTCACGGCCGCAGCTCATGGTGTTTCGGAACCTGCTGCGGGCTGGAGACGGTACCAGGGAAAGCGGACCGGAGCACACGGCTCTGCAGGTGAGCGACGCGGAGAGAGAGGCGTCTTCTTGCTCCGTTTCCACTGCGAGTGTCGGCAACAATAACAACTCGCTCTGCGGTGGAGATGCGCCACAGCAGCTTCATCTGTCTCAGAAGCCGAGATGGAGTTTGCACTCCCGGGTGAAGCCGGCGAGGCCGGCTGCCGATACAGGTAACCTCCACCGAGAGGGGCCCGAGCTGTGTCACCGGCACCGCCTGGTTTCCGATACCCAGGGCTGGCTGCCCTTGCCCGGGGTTTTACTGGACGGAAAATCAGTCCACCACCCTCACGATTTCCTGGACTCTAGGTGGGCCTCGACGCTCGGTGGAACAGAGCTGCCTTCGCTAGGAGACCCCGTAATTGATCTGGCGAGGAAATTTGGGGAGCTGGGGGTCGACAAGACCTCGAAAATGCTGTTCAAGGATGGAGAGCTGCCGCACTGCCCCTGCCAGGGTGTGCTGGGCCCGGCCAGCGCGGGCATGGGGCCTGGGGAGGACCCCACGGAGACCAGCGACGCGCTGCTGGTGCTGGAGGGGCTGGGGTCCGAGGAGGTGGACGGGCTGGACCTGCACAGCTGCCTGGAGGAGGAGTTTGCCGACGGCTCGGCTCAGACTCTCGGAGTCGGTGGGAAAGGGCTGCCGGGCGGCCTGTCCAGCAGGGCCCTGACGGGGCTGATGCGGCAGGCGGAGAGGGCGGCCGCAGAGCCCTGCTGCCCGCTCGACAGCGACCCCGTCTCGGGAGCGTCGACGCCCGTGGGCTCGTCACCCTGCGGCTCCACTCTGGATTTGCCCGCCCCAGGCCTGGCCATGGCCGGCAAGGTCCGGGTGGGCAGGTGTGCCAGCTCACCGCTGGCCCAGGCCACAGGGGGCGTGGAGCCCGGCAGAGTCCTCAGGGTTCCTGGGAAGTCACGGAAGGGCTCCCTGAAAATCCGCCTTGGCAAGCTGTTCAGAACTAAGAGTTGCAACGGCTCCAGTGACCCGCTGGATAAGCGGCACTCCGTGGACCTGGCCGCCTCGGCCGGCAGCCTGAGTGACACCTCCACCTCCAGCGGCGGGGAGCAGGACGCGTGCAGGTGAGGGCCGCGGTTTCCAGCTGCCGGGGTCTGTGACGTGGCAGCAGGTGTTTCTGGGCGGCCTCGCCTGGCCGGGATGGCGCAGGTGTGAAGGCGTGTGTGTTCCTGTGGGATGCAAAGGGGCATGAGGTGTGTTTGGGGTTGCTGTTACAGCACGGCTCTGCTTGTACAGGGCAAGAGCATCAGAAGGCTCTGGAGGAGTGCAGGTGTCCCGTGGGCATCAGTCGGCTCATCTGGCTCCTGTGTGTGTCTTTGTGCCTCCATGTGTGTCTTGAGTCTGTCCTACACACTTGCGCTGTGTAAAGTCCTCATTTTGACTCTGTAAAATGTAATTCTCACTACAGAACATCACTAAGGAAGTTTATTTACTGATTTATTTGCCCGACACTTTTACTTTTAAGGGACTGGTGTTTGCACCTAGGTCTACAGGTTTGTTTTGTTGGGACAGTACAGATGAGGCACCTTGCTCAAGGGTGCACTGTCTCAGCGAGATTCGCTGAGATTCGAACCCACAACCTGATAGTTACCCAGTCCAGAGCACTGACCTCTGCACCACCCAGCTGCTGTTCACGAGAGAAAACCAATCTTGCATCTTGGTGATTTTTACACAATCATTGTTATTATTGTAGTTGGTTGTGGGCTTTTGGTGCTTTGAAGGAAATGTCTGTCTTGAGTTCAAACAGTCAGGTGCAACAGGGATGAAAGAAAATTGAGCAAGTGTAAAAAATACTTTCAAAAGAGGAAGGAAATGCTCGCGTGTGTAAATGAAGAGCAGAGAAGCACTGTGGAAAGTAGAAAGTAGTTTAGCTAATTTATAGTGAGACACAACATCAAGCATGAAATTGAAAGGGCACAAAGACTTCTGTATCTTGCAAGGTGGGCCTTGTGCAGACAGCTTTGCAATACACTGTCATTTATACCTCAGACATGAAAGTATGGTGGAAAGATGGGTTAGTCCTACTTTGTGTTGGTATGGATTTTTAGATGGTGAGGCAGTGGCTGAACTTCAGGTGGGCTACAGAGTTTTTAAGCTCTTTTGCTCAGCCTTCTCTCTGCAGCTGCTTGTCACAACGCACTGTGTGGCAGCTAGACGCAGTTCTCCGCTGTCCTGCTGACAGGCTGTGACTGGCTTTCTGCTGGGGGAGTGTGTGCACAGGGCACAGGGCCCGCGTGTGCTGCAGTGGGCTGTGACTGGCTTTCTGCTGGGGGAGTGTGTGCACAGGGCACAGGGCCCGGGTGTGTTGCAGTGGGCTGTGATCAAGCACACAGACTAGATGCCCACATGCACTGCTGAGGGGACTGGCTGGTGTTTCAATCAGTCTTTGTTTCGATTTTAAATGTTTCTGCACTATAAAAATGCTGTTGAATGATGCTTGTAAAGAATGGGAAAAGGTTCCGTTTTGCAAAGCAGTTTGATGAAATCCATGTGGGTAATATTGCAATACTTTCATCTATGTAACATTGTCCCAGCTCCTGACACCTGAGATTTTTCAGAGATTAGACCATGTCTAGTGGAGCATCTCAGCCTTACAAAGCCCATGTCTGCTGTGTTCTCAAAATGCCAGGGAGATAAAGATCAGGGCTCTGTTAGCATTTCCACTAACAGCACAGAGACTTTCTTCCCCTGCCTCACTGTGTGCACTGGGGGAAGAGTGGATATTGCAGCCTAGTACAGTTCATTCACTTTGTTGATGACCAGAAAGTCTTCTGATATTAGCTTTGCTGTCATTTGGTCTTTTAAAATCTTATTGCTTTGTTACTTTATTTCTGAAAAGACAAGTTCTGAAGCCTGTTTTTTTGCATGTCTGAATATCTGTATAAGGAAAAAAGGACTGAATGTTTCAAAACATACAGTTAGAACAGGATCATTACAGTTTTAAATGGTGTATTGCTTGACAATCATAGCTTCGCATACAGATCTATATATAATATATAGGCTGTTCATTCAGTAAATAGAAAGTGGAGTCCCAGAAGACTCTGTGTAGTCTGTTAGAGATATATGTAGAAATCCTTTAAGTTTTACTGCAAACCTTTTTTAAAAAGGTTTTTTTTTATTAAGCTGTTCAGTTGTACATCATTTCATTGTGTTGAGTTGCATTTTATTGCTTTTTAAATTATTAATTTGGCTGACACCATTGTTGTCAGGAGAGCAAATGTTACAGTAAATTGCAATATTGATGAAAGGGGATGCAGTAATGCTACAGCTTGAGGCTGTGCTTTACAGAAGTCTACACAGAGCAGGATGCACAGTAGTGAGCGAGGAAAGGGAGCACAGAAGTGGTATCTGATCCTCTAGATGTGGCCTTCCATGTGGGCTGAGGGCTGTGAGGGCTAGCAGATGGCTGGGCCTTGCTCTCAGCCTGGGGTCCGCTGGTTATCTCCAGACCAGGTCAATACTGGCAGCCGCCACATGTCCCTTCAGGGCTGAGGGGGAGGTCAGAGCTGCGGGGCAGTGCCTCTCGCTGGCAGGCCTGCTGCCCTCCCAGTCCAACGGCTCTCTGCAGCCAACTACCGGCGTGAGGGCAGGTGTCGTATTGGCCGCAGAGCCAGAGTCAGTGTCCCTGCAGCCTGTGTGGGATCTACAGGGGCTGCTGCAGTTTGTCAAATGCTTCCTGACCCATCGGATGCTTCCTGATAGTTCTTCCTTTTAGTATTTTCCTTGTTCTGTTTCTCAGTCTGTGCTGTTATGGCTCCAACATCCCCAGTCCATACAGACGTGAGACATGGAGGTGGGCTTCTGTATGAGGGCGTTATGTGGCACCAGTCTAACCCTGTTTATGACAGCGTCACATATCTGCTCATCAATAAATAATACTAGGAATTCTTATTTTCCTGTTAAACACATGCTTCAAAAAGTTGTGCTTTAAGTTGAGTCCACAGGAAATAAGAGAAAAGATTACGAGCACGCATTATGAAATAAGTTTATTGTCATCTTTCTATGATTTTATCATCCGTCCAAAACAGTGGGAATTAGTCATTGTATGGTATCACTGTACAAAACTATAGCAAAAAGACAAACAACGCTCAACATAAATTAAATACATGTTAAAAACAAATAATAATCCTAGACATGCAACAGTACATACAGTGGATATAAAATGTCACACACCCTTATTGAAATTGCAGGTTTTTGGGATGTAAAGCCCGAAATCAAGATAAACCATGTCAGACATTTTTCCATCTTTAATGTAACCTTGCAACCAACAAATTTCAAGAGAAAAACAAATAGATAATTATTAGGAAAAATAATTGAAATAAATAAACCTACAACACCCTGGTTGCATAAGTGTGCCCCCCCCCCCCAACTAATACTTTTTGGAAGCATCTTTTGCATTTATTACAGCAGTAAGTCTTTGTGAATAAGTCTCTATCAACTTTGCACAACTGGACTTTGAAATTTGATCCCACTCTTCATTGCAAAAAAGTTCAAGCTCCTTCAAATTGCCAGGGGATCTGCCAGCCATCTTTAGGTCATTCCACAGGTTTTCTATGGGATTGAGGTCTGGGCTCTGACTGGGCCGTTCCAAGACTTTGATCTTCCTTTTCTGAAGCCATTCCTTGGTTGACTTTGATGTGTGTTTTGGGTCATTATGTTGGAAGGTGAAATCCCTCTTCATATTCAGCTTGCGTTTTGTGCCAAAATATCTGGATATTTGGGGCTAGTCATTATCCCATCTATCTTGACCAGAACCCCTGTCCCAGCTGAAGAGAAGCAGCCCCAGAGCATGATTCTGGCACCACCATGCTTCACAGTAGACATGATGTTCTTTGGATGATGAACTGTGTTGTCTTTGCGCCAAACATATCATTTAGAATTAAGGCCTTTGTCTCATCAGACCATAAGACATTTTCCCAAATGGTTTGGGGTGATTGAATGTATTTTTTTTTCTCGCAAAATTTCGATGGGCTTGGATGTTCTTTTTTGTGAGAAGTGGCTTCCATCTTGCCACTCTACCCCGTAGCCCAGACATATGCAGAATACAGGAGATTGTTGTCACATGCAAAGAGTGACCAGTACCTGCCAGAAATTCTTACAGCTACTTTAATGTTGCTGTAGGTCTCTTGGTAGCCTCCCTGACAAGTTTTCTCCTTGTCCTGTGTCTCCACTTATTGATGATAGTCTTCACAGTGCTCCATGGTACATCCAATGCCTTTGATATTCTTTTATACCCCTCTCCTGATCGGTGCCTTTCAACAATAAGATCCCGTAGGTGTTTTGTCAGCTCCTTGCGGACCATGGCTATCCCAGTAGGATGCAACCATGGACGTTTCAAGGAAATCCTACAGCTGATTTGTATTTGGTGTTAATCAGAATCACTTTCATTGATGGCAGGTGTATGCTACCTACCTTTGGACATGATTTTGAATGTGATTGGTTAACTCTGAACACAGCTACAGCCCCCATTATAAAAGGGTGTGCACACTTTTCAACCAGGGTGTTGTAGGTTTTGTAGTTTCAATTATTTTTCCTAATAATTATCTATTTGTTTTTCTCTTGAAGGTCAAATTAAAGATGGAAAAATGACTGACATGATTTATCTTGATTTTTGGCTTTACATCCCAAAAACCTGCAATTTCAATAAGGGTGTGTAGACTTTTTATATCCACTGTATATACACATCTCCCTTTGCCTGTATTACACTACCATTTCACATAATCTGATAGCTTCATGCAGGAAACAGACACTTTTAATATACTGATTGCACAGGGAACAACAGATTTCTTGTAGACATTTTTCTTGGCCTCAGGCTTTCTAAACCACCTCCAAGGTAGCAGTTGGAAATGAGAAAGAAGAGGGTGGGAAGGGTTGTTAAAGATTAGCAGAGCTTTCTTTTGAACTGCGGTATAGTACAGCTCTTTAGTTCAAGTTCGTTTATTGTCATTATACTCATATACAGGTATATGGTAAGCTTTAAGCTGTTTTTGTGGTCAACCAATTATTTTACTGGCAATATAAACAATTCTGGCCAGCTTCCCTTTACTCTTAATACTCAGACTAC